AATAATGAGAATATGAAGTAATATGTATTTTAACACTGCCAGCTTGTGTGTTTGGGATTCATAATCAGTTTTTAAACAGACAACTCCAAAATAAAAGAAATATACGTAAAAAAGAAAAAAATTATATGTTTACTAAATTTACTAAATTTCAGATAAACAAAATATAACTAAACAAACAAACACCATGAATATGTGAAACTAATTACTGTAGGTTACCATATGAAGCAAAATCTAAAAATGCTGGTGTTTGCATAATGAACTGCTTTTTAAAATGTATAGGCTACATTTCTAAAATCCTAGTTTTCAATGAACTGTGTATTGTTCAGTTTTGCCTTTATGGCTGATGTTTGACTACCTTCCACTTATATATAGCTAGCAAAAAGAAGTTCACCACTTAACTAGATAATGAGTTTCATTGATGAATGTGACATTAAGATATTTTACCTAACATTGGCAGCAAATGCTCTGAATCCTGTTTATTAGACCAATGGGATTAAAAAATGGGATTAAAAAAAGAATTACTGTCCCTGCCTTCCCCAATCTGATCTAGCATCTAATTGGGCTGGATCTTCCATTCTCTCTAGACAACATAGTCAGTTTGGCAATTGCAATAGAATACTTCTGGAAGGCAACTTCTGAAGTTGGAAATGTGAATAATTTCACATAAAATATACCAGAGGATGTTCCAAGTATTTATAAAAATAAAATCACAGATTCAGAATACATACAGTATGTACAAATACATACAGCTTGGGTTTAGGTTGGCTCACTTGATATTGAACATTTATCAAAAAGCCAACTCAGAGATTTGGGTAGTGGCAGTTTCACTGCTTGTGACCTGATTTGTAAAGGTTAATGATCGCAGTTCCAGCTGACAACAAAGAAACTCCACAAGCTCTCCAGAAGCAGGGCAGAAAGTAGGTCAATTCCTCAGCCATGGAAACGGCAGCTGTTCCCAAACAATATGCTCTGGGACATTTATCATGTATTGCATTCAGCCATAAATGATCTGTTTGGTTATGGTCTGAAGCAGTGTTTCCCAATAGAGGTAATATCCAGATGTATGCACTTCAAATCCCAGAATTCTCAGAAATGTTTTTTTCTGGCTGGGGAATTCTGGGAGTTGAAGTCCACAAATCTGGAATTCCCCATTAGGAACACTGGTTTAGAGCAATGTATGTATCAGCTGTAGTAACTTATTAGTACTGTAAGTACAACAGTCCAAGTACTCTCCTTTTTAAAAAAAAAATTGCCCACAATTTTACGAGAATGTCAAAATCTAGAAAATATTTGCAAGTATTTATTCACTGATATTTTTTTTCAAATAGAAATATAGAGCTGGATCTTTCATGAATCCTCTTCTTTCTATGGATGTAATAATGACAATTTGTATGATGAGGTTGAGCTCATCATGGCAAATATAGTACTTAAAATTACAAAAATAGTTTTTTTTTAATAGCCAGCATATAGATTTCCTGGCATTTGATTAGCTTTTGTAGTAACCAGTGCTGAATTGTGACTTCTAATCAGGGAACTTTTGTCCTTACCAAACTTGTTCCTGATCAACCAGCTGAGGAATGCCAGCTAGAGAGAAGGTTACTAAATACAGGTAGTCCTTAAGTTACAACCATTTGTTTAGCACAGTGTTTCTCAACCTTGACCATTTTAAGGCATGTGGACTTCAACTCCCAGAATTCCACAGCCAGCATTGCTGGCTGTGGAATTCTGGGAGTTGAAGTCCACATGCCTTAAAATGGTCAAGGTTGAGAAACACTGGAACTTTAGCAACTGTCCAAAGTTATAACAGCATTGAAAAAAGTGATTTATGACTGGTCATTGCACTTATGACCATCACAGCATCCCCACAGGCAGATTGCAACCTGTCCCCATAGCAACAATCGGTAGCTTTTCCAAGGACATTTTCAATAATGTCTTTAATTCTGTCTGCCAACTTAACCTGGTCGTTTGCTTCTACTTGTTTTCAGCATTGCCACATGAAATCAAAGTATGTGAATATCTGCATGCCATTAAGATAGGCACAGGGCCATCTTTAGGTAAAAACCTAGGGCACCATATTTAGGGCATGCCTGAACAACTTGTAAAAGGAAAAGGACACATTGATACCTGAAAAAGTAATCACGGGCCCCAAAGGAATAGTTGGTATGCCAATCCTCTTTGGCAGCAGTGAGGTGGTGATAGCACTGGAGCTGGCAGTGGCACATGGAGGCGTTAAAGTTGTTTGGCAGTGTCTTTTGGGGCAGAGGTGACTACAAAAAAAAAGGGTAGTAGTTGTGGACCCTTCCTGGTTGGCAGTGGTGTTTGGAGGAAGTGGATTTGTTCAGTTTTCAAAGTCTCTGACAAGTCACACTAGGTTGTTTGTGCAGGTCTTTCTGAATTATTCTAAAAATGCAAATCTTCACACTGGTGGGAGGTGATGCCATCGGGTGAAAAGGGCTAGCCTAAGGGTGGCATGTAGAGACCACAGAGAATGAACTCGATGGAGAGAGAGAGGGATGATCTGTTACCAAGGCAATGAGCAGATAAACACTGCACAAACCCAGAAGGGCTGGAAAGTATCTCAGACACCCCCAGAATTTACATTAAGGTAAAAGAGAGATTGATTGGGACCTGTGAGATTTTATTACCATAGCCAATCTTGTTCTGGTCTACCTGCCAAGTAATCAGATAAGCCAGGCATAAAACAACCAGTGAAGTTGTAACTACAGCAGACTAATTGTGAGGTCCCTGAAGGAGTAAAAATAACCTTGCTATCATCATCTTCATCGTCCAGTTGATTGTTACAGCCTAATTTATTTAATGATTACTTAATGTTAACACTGTTGATCAGAGTTCTCATCAAGAACCCAAAATTCATAAAAGTATCACATTTATCTATATATACTACTAAAATTCTAGTTCTTGTAAGTTTTAATTGGGCAAAATGGTGCATTGTAAGGCAACAGTTTATGAACCACGTACCTCAAATGGCTAACTTAAGAATATGTTCAAAATCTGGAGTCCATAACTCTTGTGGAATTGAAATTTTGCAAATTGTATAAAACATTTTATGACAAACATTATCATAAAACAGTTTATGATATAATAGAAAATGTCAAAATATTTCTCATGCTGATGTTTGACTGTGTTATACAGTTTAATATAGGCTGTTTTCAAGGCAAATACATTTCTGAATGTATCACTTTTCCAATAAAGGCAGTACATTACTGACTTTATCATCGTTGGAGGCATTGAGTAATCTGGTAAGGAAGAAACTTGTGTCTGTTTGTAACCTTCAATGAAATTTCCCTCCAAAATATGATTTTTTTAAAACAGTGATGGAAGGATGAGGGAACCACTCAGAAGTTTGCTGGTTAGGCTAGAAGGTGCTGGCTGTTGGTGGATGAGCCCTTTTACTCCTGCAGGAAGGGGGACCTTGGAGACACACCAGATAGAGAGCTGGGGCGCAATTTTCTTTGCAATCTGCAGCTCCCTTTATCTCCCCCCAAAAGCTAATACAATCCTGGGTTGTATAAACAAAAGCATCACGTGAAGTATTAGTACTGCTTCATAAAACCCTAGTAAGACCACACCTGGAATATTGCAACCAATTTTGTCACCATACCATAAAAAAGATGTTAGGACCTTGGAAAAAGTTGAGAGAAGAACAACTAAAATGATCAAAGCCCTGGAGACTAAAACATACGAATAACGGCTGCAGGACTTGGGTTTGGTTAGTCTAAAAAAAAGAAGAAATAGGGGTGACATGATAGCAGTATTCTAGTATTTGAGGTGCTGCCATAAAGAAGAGGGAGTAAAACGTCAAACTATTCTCCAAAGCACCAGAGGGCAGGACAAGAAACAATGGAAGGAAAGTAATCAAAGAGAGAAGCAACCTGGAATTAAGGAGAAACTTCCTGACAGTGAGGACAATTAACCAGTGGAACAGCTTGCCTCCAGAAATCGTGAGCACTCCATCACTGGAGATTTTAAAGAAGAGATTAGATAGTCATGTGTCTGAGATGGTATAGGTTCTCCTGCTTGAGCAGTGGTCTGGAATAGAAGACCTCCAAGGTCCCTTCAGCTATTCTATTCTATTCTATTCTATTCTATTCTATTCTATTCTATTCTATTCTATTCTATTCTATTCTATTCTATTCTATTCTCCAACAAAGGGGCAGGCAGTCCTGTGAGTCAGCAAAGGAGGAGGTGGAGTATTTTCTGATGCTTCCTGCCAGCTTCCCACAAGCAAAACCAATGGGTAAGCTGGCAGGAAGTCAGTCCAGTTTCCACTGTGTTTTTTGTACACTTGTGGCCATTTTGAAAGTTTGACCCAACAGGTCATGGGTTGTCTAGTAAAACATATGCTGATGCAAAATTAGTGTTGTCAAATCCATTCAGTTTGGAATTTCTAAATGTTTGCTGAATCCTTTTAATATTGCACTAAGAGCTTCAATTACAATAGGTACTACAACAGATTTTTATTTCATAATTTTCAAGGTCAATTTGTAAATCATGTTATTAGTTATTTTCTTCATTTTTTTTCAAATCAGCTTCCCTGTCTCGAGGCGCTGCCACATCAGGGGACCATTCATTCTTTTTTATAACACCAATACCTGCTATAATGTTCTATTTGTTTGATTTCTGAAATCTCAGAAAATTTCCATCGCCCCATTTTGCAAAACTTTTTTAGGTACATCATGCCAGTGGTTTTTGGCAAACAGTGCAACAGAATTTTCTATATACACTCTAGTATACAATTTCAGCAACCCTATCATGATGGAATCATTTATACTGTTTGAACAATTTACTACAGCCACCCATGAGATGATCTCCAGTTTCACCCTTAATTTTACAGGGTAGGCATTTGATGTTGTTGGAAATGTATTCAGTTTTGGCTTTGATTGTATTGCAGGGCTGGTTCTGGAACTGCCATGATTTTTTCCTCCTCATTTTCTTTTCTTTTTTTAAGTATTCCAGGATTCAACCATAACCATGGTTGACTTCGACGATGTTGTTGCTGATGATGAGTAGCAGGCACCAGATCAATATTACCCGCCTCCTAAACTACCCATTGGAGGAGATGCCAATCCAGCAGTTTAACTCGCTCAGACAACCAATCATACACCGCGGCGGCCGATCAACCAGCCAATAGCCTCAAGAGTAAGGCGGAACTTTGCCAGGCGGCAGCTTGGGTGGAAGAGGGGCCGTACAAAGGTTGGTTTGAAAGGGGCGGGCTGCCGTTCCCCGCAAGAAGAGCGTGTGCGACCGCGGGGCGAAAGCGAGGAGCCGCAGCCGAAACTGAGGAAAGCTCCTCCGGCGTGGCGCCGAAAAGGCCAGGGAGGCAGCCGTACGCGGGGAAAGGCCCATTGCTCGTGCAAAAAGAACTGAGTGGCCGCTGCCTGGCTGACGTGGGAGGGAAGATTGCCTCTCCTCAGACCGCCGCAGCGCCTCGCGCGCTTAGAGGCACGGAGGTCTAGCGCGGTGGCAGCGGCAACACAGGCGGGCGGGCGGTCTCCGAAGAAGTCGCGCCAAGGCAACTCCTGCGCGCTATTCACCCCCCACGCCCCAATTAGCCCATGATTGTGCGTTTTTGCCCCGCTGCTACAGCTGGTGAACGGCTGGTGATTAGTTGGCTGCTCGCTGCAGTGGAGAGGGCGCATCCTCGCGTGGTGGCAGCCGCGCAGCGTCGGCTTTTTGCCTAAGAACTCCCTGCCACCGCTGGCTGAAGCGACGGTCTAAAGAAGGAGCCTCTCGCTTTCTCCGCCTGCGCCCTCCCTTATTTTATTTTATTTTATCTTATTTTTTGCTTCCCCGTCGGCCCAGCCTGATTCTGCCTTGATCCACCGGAGCCGGATTTCGGGTTCCATCATTCCAAGGGCAAATAGCGGCGCCGTCCCGGCAGCGTCAGCGATCCCACCCACTTGGCTCCCTCCAAGCAGGGAGACGGAAGATGCCCGGGGCGACCCGGTGGCCGATTCGCTTCCAATAAATAACGCTTCGAGTGCCGGCTCCGGGGTTTGTGGTGCTTCGCTAACCCCTTCCCATTGCAGCAATGTCGCCGCTGCCTTGAGCTGGAGGAATTGGGGGTGGACCAGGGGGCCTCGGAGAGGCGGCTCGCTCGCGATTCCTCAGGCCGAACCTTAAAGCACCTCGAAACTGGAGGGGGTCGGACAATGAGCCAGTCGCTTGCCAGACGCCTCGGGCGCTGCCTCTGGGGCTGCCTTCTGCCACATCTGCCCAGATGACCAACGCATAGGCGGGTTGCCTCCAGGCCAAATTTTAAAAAAATGACGATTCTGGATGGTTTTGCTCCGCTTCCTGGAGAGTAGATCGCAAGGGAATGATGCCGCTTCTTTGAGTTCGTTTTTGACAGTCGGGTCCTTCGCGGGGAGGAGATCCCGAGAAAGAGAGAGAGAGAGAGAGATGCCAAGATGCTCCACAGTGATGATTTTACAAAGTTGCATTCTGGTTGTAGAGTGATTGTGGCTTAAAGCGAGGGGGGGGGATTTCAACACTCCAGGTGCCTTTTCCTCCTCTGTCTCCTTTTTCTATGCATGCTGCCGTGGTGGATTTGAATTCTTGATGCGCCAGCGAACTGCCAAAACACCGGGGACTTGGGTGGGAAAATGACAGAAGGGGAATCCTTGCCAGAGAGTCCTCCTTTCTCTGGGAGGGGAGGGAAACTTGCTTCCTGGTCAGCTCTGTGTGGCTATATAAATCCTGTGTGAGGAAACATTGGACTCCTGGGAAGGGAAGGAGACCCAAGTGGCTTTCCAGCTGGCAACTAAGAGAGATTTGAGTATTATTGGGGACATTGTTGGATCTGGTTCTGGATTTGAGGTTTGGTCTGCTGCCCTTGCTTCCACCCTCCTGTTCATTGGTGGAGAGATGCTGTTTGGAAGAGCCTGAGAGATGCTGTTTGGTTCTGTGCCATGAACCACCCAATGTCTTCTGGTTGATTTCCTCCCACCCTCTCGTTGGTTTCCTGGAATTCCTGCCCTTCCTCTGCTGCCCCAGCAGGGCATGTCCCGCTCCAACAGCGTGAGCCCTCCGGGGTTTGGAGTTCCTGCTGTGCCCAGGGGTGGAGGGGCAGAGTCACATCGCTCTGCCTGGGGAGAAGCTGAATCCAGAGCCAATGGCTACTCCTACCCTCTCCCTACCAGGGCCTCTGTCAAGGAATCTTCCAGAATGGCAAGCAGGTGGAGAAATGAGGAGGACTATGATCTGCCAGGTAGCAGGAACCATGGGGTAAGTGGCTGCAGGATGATGAGCTTCAGATCCAAATCTGCTTGGCAGGATCGGAGTGGAGACAAGAGCCAGCATTCCTGTTGGGCAGGAGGCCCCTCCCTTGCCCCAAGTCCGAGACACTATGGTAGTGAGCAGGGTGAGGTGCGTCCACGTTCTGTGGAGCTGGGACTCGAGGAGAAACGGATCAAGGCCAAGATCGACGAGCTGGAGGAGGAGGAGGAGCAGGGGGTTGATGAAGGGGGGTCCGAGATGATCTTCTCAATGGGCAGCTGTTGTGGAAGCCTGCTGCAAATCTTCAGGTCTAAGAAGTTCCAGTCAGAGAAGTTGGAGCACCTCTACCAGCGGTATTTTTTCCGTCTCAACCAGAGCAGCCTGACCATGCTGATGGCAGTGCTAGTCTTGGTCTGCCTGGTCATGCTGCTCTTCCACACTGTTCATGGTCACTACCAGGTACCCTACGTGGTGGTGCTGTCCCTGGCCATCCTACTAATGGTATCCCTGGGGGCCGTCTGCAACCGTAATGATTTCCACCAGGACCACATGTGGCTCATGTGCTACTCTGTCATCCTTGTGGTGTTAGCTGTGCAAGTGGTTGGCTGCTTGCTAATGCAGCCCAGAAGTGCTTCAGAGGGCATCTGGTGGACCATCTTTTTTATCTACAGCATCTACACTTTGCTACCCATCAGGATGAGGGCAGCAGTCATCAGTGGTGTGGTATTGTCTGCCATCCACCTGGCCATTTCTCTCAAAATCAATGCAGAAGACAAGGTCTTATTAAAACAGGTAAGGCTGAGATGTTGGATATGTGGCTGTTAATTCAGACTGAGAATTACAATACGTTGGGGGTTGTTTTTGGAAGTGCCTGGCTCCAGGCTTAGTTGTCTATGTTGATGTATCATGTAGTTTAATTTCCTTGCATTTCTTCTTATTTATATGCCTAATTGACGTTAACTGAACACTTAGAAAGGGGATTGAGGCATGGATTATTTGACCAATAGGAAATTCTTGCTGCTAAAGAATTCTATGGATTCAGTTATTGATCTGTTACAATACTCTGGTACTGTTAATTAAAGAAGCAAAAACAGTTGGGAAATACATCTTTACTATGGTACCAAGAACAATCGTTCTGGCAATTGTCAGAATTTTTTTTTCAATGAAATTCCACAAAGTTGCGGAGAAAAAAATGCTTCTAATAAGTTTGCACAGCAAACCTCCCAAATTAGCTTGTTTCTCTGGAAGGAAATTTTCTTTCTGATAGAAAAGCAGTTTCCTCTTTGCGTTGGTGTAGGGAGGATTTTGTTTATAGTTGTGTCACTATTGTCAAGACAGAATAAAACTTGATTTCATCTTGAATGTTATATATCATTTTATATGTAAACTTTCCTTTTAGGAAAGTAGGAATCAGGTGCTTAGATTCCTCTGGAGAATCTGTTTATAACTAAAGAGAAGGTTTGATGTTACATCAGTTGAATATGTTACACAGGACTGTATTTTATGTACAGGGGCTTTGTGTTTGAACTGCATTTCACTTTGTGCATGCATATTTATTAACTCCCCCCCAGTACTTTCATTCCCCCCCCAAAGTATACCATATCTGTGCTGCATAAATCATAATAGCCATTAGACTGTAAAGTATTTTCATATCATTTTACTGTCATTTAGTGTAGATCCAGATAGAACAACTCTGTATTGTAAAAGATTTCTTAAAGCGTGACTGTAGTTTTGTGGTTAGTTCATTTAATTTTCTCCTATTAACATGGAAATTAAATAGTAATAGTAAAAGAATGGCTTTATTAATATTTTTGGAAGAACCAGCTTGTGGAATGTATAGATGTTACTAAGAGAATTGCTAAAGTTACCCAGTTTTGCTTGAAACAGCACTTTGGCAGATTATATCCTAATTTTACAACACTTTCATCTTTGTTAAATAAAATTAGTTGACAAAGAAGGCAAGAAGGGCTGTCATATGTTGCTTTCATCTTTAAACTTAGAAAATCTTTCCAAACTGGTTTCTTTGTTTTTCCTTAGAAGCAGTCTACTAAAGTTTTTGACTTCAGAGCGCTTCTGTATTTCAAACTTTGCTGCTATAACACAACTTGTTTTGAGGCTTTACTTAAACTTTAAATAAATGTCCCTGATTCTCCCATGATTATCTGCAAGATGAAGATGATAATTCCTGCTTATTTTGTTGGATTCTTGTAAGGTTCCCTGCTGACTGATTAAGCCTCAATTTTATGCTTTTTCCTTCCACATTACCTGATTCCCTTATTTTTCTGTTTAGCACACATCACATGTGCACTAAAACACCTGAAGTGAAACAATAGTTTCACAGATATACTGGGAAATTGTAAATCAACTGGAATGCATGAAGAGAAAGGGATTATGTTGAATTAGTGGTTTAGCTTAATTGTGAAATGACCAAGGATATAAAGTGTTTATAACGCTTGAAACTTTTGACACAACTCCTATGAACTATCTGTACTACAATTAGATTTGTTTTTAATTTAGTTTAAATTATACGTTAGTTCTTCACATCTTTTCTTCTTTCTGTCAGAAGAGTTAATACCCAGTCTAAAATGTTGCCTTTCAAGCTATAAACAGAGCTTATGTTTAGAGCCATCTGATACTAAAATTTAAATTGGCAACTGTCTCACAACTTAACAGGCCTTTTATTACCTAGACCGTAGCTTGTTACCATAGAAATCTAATTTTCCTCTGACACTGCCCTGCTGATGCATATCCTTCCTTTTTCTTCCAAATAAGAAAGCCTGGGGGGGGGGGAATAGGAAACATGGGAATGGATCAAATCTAAATATATTATTATAATACTATTCTGTTATTTTCAGTTTTCATTTTATTCTTTCCTAATGAAATCCATATTGACAGGATATTTGCTGTGTCAAAAAAGGCTGCCTCTATTTTTATGGGAACCAGAGCCTCTCCACTCTGTAGGGGTTATTTTTGGGTAAACTAATCTAGGACCACATTGCATGCAGATAAGTTTGGTGAATGAAACTCAGTATTGCCTTAGTGCAGGGTTTCCGAACCTTGGCCACTTTTAAGACGTGTGGACTTCAACTCCCAGAATTCCCCAGCCAGCTGCTGGCTGGGAGTTGAAGTCCACACATCTTAAAAGTGGCCAATTTACAGAAACCCTGCCTTAGTGGGCTTCTCTGGTGGTGTTTCCACAAAAGCCTCAATATTATTAAGTCTTTCTAAATTACTCCAGATTTTTCTGTGAGGGGGTTGCAAGATGGTTGCATTTGCTCCTTTCCCCCAGCAGTGTTGGTTGAGGGATCTTCACAGAAGGAATTCTACCTCAGTTCCACTTCATTGCTAATAACCTTAGCTGTTCTGTGCTTCTCACATGCATTTACTAGGAACAATGAAGCCAAAAAAACCACCCTATTTTATTTTTAAAAATGTCATACTTAATCATGCATTATGATGTAATTTGTACATCTTGGTTTTCCAAGGCTGGAGAACTTATTACACAATCACTTATCACGATTCCCTTCAAAAACTTGTCCTAGGAAGAATCTCCAAGTTCCTTTCTAGCTTTTCTTCTAGGGGCGATTTCTGTGGCAACTTTTTAAGTCTTTCATTTTGCTACAGAGTAAGATGTAGGGTGACTTACGATTATATGTGTCCACCAAATGTGTCATGTTGCAGATGTTAAAAGGTATTGTATGCATGCTTTAATATCGTACTTTATTTTTAGAAGATTATTTTTTGTGTATTGCATTTGGGCACGCATCGTGAAAAACAGAAGGATTTACATAGTTTGCTGGAATATAAAATGCATCATACTGAGATCCAAGTCTTAGAATAGAGCTCTCTGAAAGTCTCAAACATACCTACATCTGTAAACAATACTATACTTTTAATCTACTGTTAACCTTTCTGGTGACCTGGGAAATGAAGGCAACTACAATCTTCTTTTCCAACTCCTGCATTTTTATTCAAATTCATTTTCTTTCTGAGTGGAGCCTGATATTATCATTGGTAAACAGCTGCATCATTATGTGTCTCTATTTTATAACTCTTCTCTTATCCAAGCCAGCCTCTCAGCTGTTTAGACCTTTTACCAAGGCCTGTGTCACAATATCCCCCTTCAGTACTCCTGGCTTTTCATGTCTGAGAATAAATACAATGTGGTGTCTCTTCTGCCCACAATTCATGCTCACTTAAACCATTCTAGTTATAAAGATGGTTACCTTTATAAAGAATAAAAGCTCACCTGCCCTTTTCCCAACAGAATGGGACAACTTGCCATGGCCAATTCGCAGCGGCTAATTTGCAGTAGCCAACTTGCCACAGCCAACTCACCTTTACAGTAGTTCCTTTTATTTTTGCCGGCCACTTTTTCATCAGAATTATTTTATCTCTTGTGTCAAAGGAAGTCATTCCTATGACTACCAGCTTTTGCAATGCTTTGATGAATAATAACAGGAACTAATCCCACGTTGAATTGTCCCATGGTGAGGTTTTGTTTTTTTTAAATGAGTATTTTTAAATGAGTTTTTGAGGTTTAATGGCCAGAGATAATGGCTTTAAGAACACAAGTGTGTTGTATGAGCTCATTGTGAACTTCGTAGCACTTCTGCTGATTTTGGAGCTAAGATCTGATTTGATTGCTATACATGATAGGACTGCTCTTCCATGCCAGGTATGAGCAGCCAGGGGCTAAAGGGACAGCTTGTAGCATCTAAGTCTGTTTTTCATCTTTATGTAGCCCTGGAATGCCCTCCATCTACAATTGCTGGAAGTCTTCTTGTTCCTTTGATATGGGAAATGTAGGGAAGCAGTTGGATAAGCCATTTACTAGTTGTAAAATAAGCTTTCCCTGGATCTTGCTTGATAAAAGCATTTACTTTGGGAGCCACAACTCTCCTACAGATAGATAAAATATTGAGGAGGACAGAGCTTTAACATCAGGCTTCTTGCTGGTTTGAGAATATTGCTGTCTCTCCAGAACCAGGACTGACTGATTTTCTGTCCAAACTGAAACCATTCTTCAAATTTTATTAATATCTTGGATATAGAAGATATAAAAACCCTACATGACATGGGACCAGATTATTTGAGTGACTGTTTCTTCCTGATTACATCTGTAGGTCCCACCAGGTCAGATAGGAGGAATGGGTCCTGCCTTCAGATGAGCTCCAGGCAGTGACCGTTTGCTGTGGTCCCCACCCTCTGGAATATCAGCTCTCGCTCTCGCTCTCCCCACCTGTGAAGTTAGCCCCCATCTCTGTTAGCCTTCTTAGAAGATCCTTAAAACATCTTTTAAATTTTTTTTCTTACTGGCTTTGGGGAATCCCAGGAAGAGCTTGCAAGTGACTATATGAGATTAAGTGATCTTTCTTCTCCTGCTTTCTTGGGTGTTTCTGTTTATTTTATCTGTTTGCTTTATGTGTGTATTTTATTTAGTGTAATTGTTTTTAGATGGTTATGGAACTTTAAAGTGCTGTTATGTTGTATGCTACCCAGAGTCTTGTGTTTGTGTGATGAATGGCTGTGTAAATATGGTAAATAAATAAATGTTTCCTTGGGCCAATACGAGTGGATGGGATGCTAATCATTTAAGTCTTAAGTTGTTAAGCAATGAATAGCTTTATAAAAATATAGTCTGCCCTTTAAATTGGATCTTAATTTTATTCAGTTGATTGAGGCAGAAATAAGTTCCTAGATTAGGGATTTGAAAGAAATTTTGCTGACATCAAGGAAATTCAAACCACTTTTGGTTTGAACAGATTTTTTAAAATGATTTTTTTATTGTA